ACAGACCAGATCTCTGAGGAGCTCGGTGGAGCCCTCCTCGGCAACAGGCCACGCCCCCAGGAAGTCTTTTTCCTTAAGATATTAATTGATCATATGAGCCAACGTGACAGCAAGTGACCATCTACATGCATGAAGAATACAGGGCAACAATTTAAGAGTCTGCTGTTATGGGAAATACAGGCTAACATTCTCCAAAGTTATATATGAAGAAGCCAGGGGTGTTTTCCGGCTTCTGTTACTGCTGGTTCACTCTGGGACACGCTTGATGCGCATTGCACGCATGCTTGATGTGCATTGTGTGCACATGCACAGTAATAAAAAAATTAAGATGGCAGGGCCTACGGCACCGCTGACAGAACCAATTCAGGGATGTGGCCAGCCAAGTTACGATCTACTTAGCCGCACCAGTCCGAACCGGTAGGAACCCAGTTCTGGAGAAAGCTGTATAAAAGCGTAAGAAGTTTGTTAGTTTTTTAAAAAAGTTTCAATTTGATGAAAGCTTTTTTCATGAATCTAGAAACTGTTACCTAACTGAAGAACCTTCAATGAAATGTAAGGTACTATGTTCACAAGCTACCTGGTATGACACACGAGTAGAAAACAAATAGCAATAAACTTTGCGGAAATTGATTCTGAAAAGAAATTCTTATGTTTATCTGTAATAGCAGTGTGTGTTTTGGAAAAAAAAAGAATAATTCAGAAAACAAACTTATTTGCTATTAATAATGGAAGTGATCCAGAGCTCTTTGCTGTAGTTAACTGAAACTTTGTAGGCATGGTGCTAATTTTTAAAAGAATGTCATCCTCTGTTGTACTGTACTGTACTGCCATTACAGTACAGGCAAAGGTTACAGAAGGCCCTGTAGTTTATACAGCAGGACTGGGGTTCCTGCAGTCATCCTTTCTGTGACTTCACCACCTACCTAGTGATGTCACCTGCAGCCCTTCAGCTGCTTGAGGGAGCAAGTTGTGACTCCTGACCCTGGAAAAATTGCCCTCCCCTGCTGTAAAGGCTGCTCCAGCATGGCTTCAATGGAAACAAACAAGAAACAGGATTTTATTTGGAATTCCTTCAGTTTCCCACCAGTAGCATGCACGATAGCACCTGCCTGAAGTTACAGACAGGAGAAAACTGGTTAGGTTTTGGGGGAAAAAAAAGATATAAATAAGAATAATAATCTCCATGATTCCACATCAACTGTGGAATAAAATGAAACGTGAATGAATCAGTAAACTGATTAAAAGTTTCAACAATAAAAAGGTAATGAAATAACTACCTATTTTTCTAGCTGTAATATTTTTTGCTCCTTATAATATGATGATCCAGTTACCATGTCAGAGGAGTAATAAATCACTCTGTATTTTTTTTCCTCACAAAGAGCTCTACTATGTACCATATGGCTGAAATCATAAGACCAGTGATCAGGCGCTGAGCTCCAAATATGGATTTCTGCAACGTTCTGTATTCCCTCAAACTGGAGAAATCATGGAGCCTGTCGATCTGCCGTAACCCTCATTTGTATGTTTTCATTTAAAAAATATCCTGAAATAAAGCCGGCAAAAAATAAAGCTAAAATAAAGACCCCCAAGATTCAGATAAAAGCTTAAGGAAATGAAAGATTGAGAATTCCTCTTATTCATCTGATATACTGTAGAGATAAGCTGTGTAGCCTTTTCCACAGTTGAAAAATTTCAGTCTGATTAGGAGAAATGTGGCAGATATAACCCTAAACAAGAAAGAAAGACAAAAAGGAGCTCATCCGTTTTTCCAATCGGACTTAGTACCTGTTCAGGTTGGTTGGCATTGGAAAGAGGCGTGACCATCCAGATGACATTAAGGTTAGTGAGTGCAGCACTAGTGGTGAAAGTACAGGGCAGGATCGCCGTCTGACCCCGAGCAACTTCAACACTCCTGGTATTCATGAAAACCTCCAAGGGGCTCACTAGACCTAAAAAAAGAGAGATCAAGATAATATATTCTATCTCTATTTTACAATTATGTACTAATATAGTAACAAATGGGATAATCAACTTTCTGTCTTCCTGGCACACACACACAAATGTTCTTCTCTTGCACTTGCAACCACCCAGCTGCCTCCTTGCCTTACTTTCCAAGACTTTCTACTGCCATGAGGAATCCAAAGAAACAGTAGTTAACATTTTTACCCCAGTGCACAGTAGGCAGATGGAAAATGTAAGGAAAAACAAATGACTTTGCTATATTCAATGATGGCAGACCTTTTTGTCCTTGTGCAATGCACGTGGAAGACACCCCCATGCACCCTGCAAATGTGCTTGGGACCTCCCCGCGCATGCGCACACAACTCCCCTTCCCGTTTTGGACCTAGCAGGCCACCTTGAAGCCTCCAGGGCCCACAAATGGGCTGGGGCATGTCACATGTGACCTCCCCACCCCCACGCATGCATCTCCTGCATGCGCTGCAGAGACCTGAAAATCGGCTGGCCGGCGGGAGGTACATGCACATGCGCGGTGGAGCTGAGCTGGGGCAACGACTCGCTTGCCCGCAGAGAGGACTCCGCATGCCACCTGTGGCACGCGTGCTATAGGTTCACCATCTTGGCTATATGTGTATACCTACAGGCCACCCAACCAACTGGAGCAAATAGATGAACTCTTTGCTAATCAGTTAGGTGAGGTGTGGAGGAAACAGCACTGTAGTAATGAGGAACTTTACTACCATGACATCAACTAGGAAGCAAACTCTTCAGTGAGTGGGAGATCAAACATGTTTCTTGCCGGACAACTTTATTATACAAAAGGTAGAGGAAGGAACTAAAAGGACAGCTATCCTTACTAACTGGAATGAACTGGCTGAGGGGGTAAAACTATAGAAACTTTGGGGGAGAGCAACCATATCATAGTTGAATTCACCATAATGCAACTAAGCAGCTGAACTAAGTCTGATTAGTATTTTAGGCTTAGCTTCAACAAGCTAAGAGAGAGACTAGGAAGGATTCCATGGGTAGAAATCTGAAAAGGAAAAACAGTTCAAGATGCTTGGGAAATCCTAAAAAATGAGATAATGAAGGCACAAGGAAAAATAATACTTAAGAAAGAAAGAAAAAAAACAAGACACCAAACAAGATCAGCATGGTTGCTCTCCGACAATATGAGGAAGAAAAAGGTCAAATATAAAAAATGGAAAGAGGGATACATAATTAAAACATATCAACAAATAGCCTGAATCTGTAAGGATGGAGTCAGGAAAGCTAGGGCCCAAAGTGAGCTAAGACTGGCAAGTAATGCCAAAAATAATAATAAAAAAAGTTCCTTTCAATATGTAAGGAACAAGAAGAAAGTCAACGAAATGATAGATGAGCAATATAACTAATGGGAACAAAAGGCAAAAAAGTGATGGACAGGGATAAAGTGGAACTGCTTAGATTCTTCTTTGCATCTGTTTCTAAGTAAAAAGAAGAAAAAGCCCAATCTATCAAAAGCAGCAACAAGGGAGACTTAAAAGATATACAAATCAAAATAGGCAAGGAATTAGTAAGAGAATCCCTTACGAAATGCAAATCACCTGAGCCAGATGGTTTACATCCCAGGGTTCTGAAAGAGTGGGCAAACATAATCTCAGAGTCACTGAATGTAATCTTTCAAAGCTCCTGTACCACATGGGAACTACTAGAAGACTGGAAAAAACCTGATATTGTTCCTATCTACAAAAAGGAGCAAACCGGAACCCGGAAATTATAGGCCAGTCAGCTTGATATCAATATCTGGGGAAATCTTGAAAAAAATATTCAAGAGGTGAATTTGTGAGGATCTAGAAATGAACAAGGCGATTACTAGAAGCCAGTATATTTTGTTAAAAACAGATCATGTCAGACAAATCTTATTGCCTTCTAGCTAAAGTGACCAAATTAGTGGGTCAGGGAAATGCTGTGGACATAGTACGCTTGGACTTCAGTAAGGCATTTGACAAAATAGACCACAGCCTATTTCTAGATAAGGTAAGAACAATATGGAACAGACAGTACCCTCACAAAACGGATTTGCAGTTGGCTGACCAACTGCACCAAGTATGTAATCCTCAATAGAGCTACATCTATTTGGAGGAAAGCATGCAGCTGGGCCCAGTACTTTCCATAAATGATCTAAAGAGCAAATAGGGGAACTCATCACATTTGCAGATGATACCTAACTGGAAGGAATTACCACTAGCACTTTAGAAGATACATTCAAGATTCGTAAGAATCTCCACAGACTTGAACATTGGGCCTATCCAATAAGATGCAGTTCAATGGTGAGAAAAGTTAAGGTCCAGCATTTGGGCAGGAAAAACCAAATGCATAGGTAGAGAATAGATGGTACCTGATTCAAAAATAGTAACTGTGAGAAAGATCTAAGTGTTCTAGTGCAGTGGTCCCCAACCCCCGGTCCGCAGACCGGTGCCGAGCCGTGGAGTACCTGGCACCGGGCCGCGCAGCGACCGGG